AGTGCACTGGTGAATACTCCAGGGGGTTCTCTTTGGCTCTGTGGAGCCCACTCTCTGCAGCTCTCCTCTCCAGTACTCTTCCCTGAAAACTCTAGCCACCGACCAGACTCTCAGCTCTGCCTCTTCATCTCGGGGGGGTTCACAGGCTTCAGCTGATTTCCCCACCCTGCACCTCAGAAACTCTCAAGGCAGTAGGCTGGGGCAGCCCCAGGGCTCACCTCATTTGTTTTCCCTCCCTCGGGGGTCACTCTCCTTTGTTCACTGATGTTCAGTGTCTTGGAACTTACTGGTTCATATGTTTTGTCCATTTTCTTAGTTGGTTCAGGCAGGAGGGTAAATCCAGTCCCTGTCCCTCCATCTTGGCTGTGCTGTGTTGATTTAAACGAATCGGAGCCCACTTCTGGAAGTGGAGTGGGGCCACACAAACCCACACCGCCTAGAGACTGCACAGAGGGGAGAGGTGGAAGGGATGTTGTGGGGAAGCCCTCCACTGTGTCCGCCACGAGATCTCTTGTACTTGGGATAAGTAATGTTTAGAAGCAACTAAAAGTCTGTCTACCGGTGTTTACTTTAATAAATTGTGGTATACACATGGAATGGAAGCCCTATGGATACAGAAAAAGTATAAGACAGCTGCCATTGTACTGGTAGAAGGGACACCGCTAAGTGAAAAAAACACACTGTAGATAGTGTACATATTACATGCCTTTGAGGTAAAAATCTACATTCATGCTTCTTTATAGATGCATAAAGAAACTGGACTCATAAGAAAAGGAAAGAAATGGTTTTCTGTGAGGAAAATAAAGAAGAACTAGGCACATAGTAGACAAAGTGGGGAGGATTTACTGACTGCCTTTTCAAGGCTTGTTGATTTTTGAACCCCATGAATATATTACAGATTTGTAAAATTAATTCAAAGATAAAAAACATTTTGGAATAATCTAAGAAGATAAAATATTTACAATAAGATTTTAATAAATATGTATGTACACACTGAGTATTACAACTCTGTACAATGTATATACAAGTGTACAAAGAGTATAAAGAAAGGCAGAAAAAGTAAAACCAATTTATTTGCTAGGTTGATGAAGTTTTTTATTCCAGCTATTGTAATAATGGTTATAAGAATTTATTGAAAAGCAATTAAATTAGTGAAAATAAATAAATGCAAATAATTGGTAGCAATTAAAATGAAATCTATCGAAGATCAACAAGGAAATAAGGACTTTGAATGACACACTGGACCAGGTGGACTTCACAGATCTATGCAGAACATACCATCCCAAAGCAACAGAATACACATTCTTCTTGAGTGCACATGGAACATTCTTCAGAATAGATCACATACTGGGTCACAAAGCAGTTCTTCAACTGGTACCAAAAGATTGGGATCATTTCCTGCAATTTTTGGACCACAGTGCTTTGAAACTGGAACTCAATCACAAGAGGAAATTTGGAAAGAACGCAAATACATGGAGGCTAAAGAGTATCCTACTGAAGCATGAATGGGTCAACCAGGAAATTAAAGAAGAATTCATGGAAACAAATGAAAATGAAAACACAACTGTTCAAAATTTTTGGGATGCAGCAAAGGTGGTCCTAAGGGGGAAGTATATAGCAATACAAGCCTTTCTCAAGAAACAAGAAAGCCCTCAAATACACAACCTAACTGTACACCTGAAGGAGCTGGAGAAAGAAGAGCAAATAAAGACACAGCAGGAGAAAAATAATAAAGATTAGAGCAGAAATCAATGAAATAGAAACCAAGAGAACAGTAGAACAGATCAACAAAACTAGGAGCTGGTTCTTGGAAAGAATTAAAAGATCGATAAACCTCTAGTCAGACATCAAAAAGAAAGGAGAAAGGACCCAAATAAAATCACAAATGAAAGAGGAGAGATCACAACCAACACCAAAGAAATACAAACAATTATAAGAAAATATTATGAGCAACTATATGCCAACAAATTAGGCAATCTGGAAGAAATGGATGCATTCCTAGAGATGTACAAACTACCAAAACAGAAACAAGAAGAAATAGTAAACCTGAACAGACCCATAACCAGCAAGGAAATTGAAGCAGTCATCAAAATTCTCCCAACAAACAAGAGCCCAGGGCCAGATGGCTTCCCAGGGGAATTCTACCAAACATTTAAAGAAGAATTAATACCTATTCTTCTGAAGCTGTTTCAAAAAATAGAAATGGAAGGAAAACTTCCAAACTCTTTCTCTGAGGCCAGCATTACCTTGATCCCAAAACCAGACAAAGATCCCACCAAAAAGGAGAATTACAGACCAATATCCCTGATGAACATGGATGCAAAAATTCTCACCAAAATACTAGCCAATTGGATCCAACAGTATATTAAAAGGATTATTCACCACGACCAAGTGGGATTTATTTCTGGGCTGCAAGGGTGGTTCAGCATCCACAAATCAATCAACGTGATGCGCTACATCAGTAAAAGGACAAGAACCATATGATCCTCTCAGTTGATGCAGAAAAAGTGTTTGACAAAGTACAGCATCCTTTCTTGATTAAAACTCTTCACAGTGTAGGGTTAGAGGGAACATACCTCAATATCATAAAAGCCATATATGAAAAGCCCACAGCAAATACCATTCTTAATGGGGAAAAACTGAGAGCTTTTCCCCTAAGATCAGGAACATGGCAGGGATGTCCACTATCACCACTGCTATTCAGCATAGTACTGGAAGTCCTAGCCTCAGCAGTCAGACAACAAAAAGAAATAAAAGGCATCAGAATCGGCAAAGAAGTCAAACTCACTCTTCTCAGATGACATGATACTCTATGTGGAAAACCCAAAAGACTCCACCCCAAAATTGCTAGAACTCCTACAAGAATTCAGCAAAGAGGCAGGGTATAAAATCAGTGCATTTCTATTCAGAAATCAGTTGCATTTCTATACACTGAGACAGAAGAAAGAAAAAATAAAGGAGTCTGTCCCATTTACAATTGCACCCAAAACCATAAGAAGATACATAGAAATAAACCTCACCAAAGAGGCAAAGGATCTATGCTCAGAATACTGTAGAACACTCGGGAAAGAAATTGAGGAAGACATGAAGAAATGGAAAAACGTTCCATGCTCATGGATTGGAAGAACAAATATTGTTAAAATGTCTATGCTGCCTAGAGCAACCTACACATTCAATGCAATCCCTGTCAAAATACCATTAACTTTTTTCACAGAGCTGGAACCAATTGTCCTAAAATTTATATGGTACCAGAAAAGACCCCGATTAGCCAAAGGAATGTTGAAAAGGAAAACGAAAACTGGCGGCATCACAATTCTGGACTTCAAGCTATATTACAAAGCCGTTATTGTCAAGACAGTGTGGTATAGGCAGAAAAACAGACACATAGATCGATGGAACAGAATAGAGAACCCAAAAATGGACCCTCAACTCTATGGTCAACTAATCTTCAACAAAGCAGGAAAGAATATCCAATGGAAAAAAGCCTTTTCAACAAATGGTGTTGGGAAAATTGGACAGGCACATGCAAAATGAAACTGGACAATTTCCTTACACCATTCACAAAAAATAGACTCAAAATGGATGAAAGACCTGAATATGAGACAGGAATCCATCAAAATCCTAGAGGAGAACACAGGCAGCAACCTCTTCAACCTCGGCCATAGCAACTTCTTGCTAGACACATCTCCAAAGGCAAGGGAAACAAAGGCAAAAATGAACTAATGGGACCTCATCAGGATAAAAGCTTTTGCACAGTGAAGGAAACAAAACCCAAAGACACCCGACAGAATGGGAGAAGATATTTGTAAATGACATATCAGATAAAGGGCTAGTATCCAAAATCTATAAAGAACTTATCAAACTCGGGCACCTGGGTGGCTCAGTTGGTTAAGCGACTGCCTTCGGCTCAGGTCATGATCCCGGAGTGCCGGGATCAAGCCCCGTATCAGGGCTCCCTGCTTAGCGGGGAGTCTGCTTCTCCCTCTGACCCTACCCTCTCTTGTGCTCTCTCTCTCAAATAAATAAAATCTTTAAAAAAAAGTATCAAACTCAATATCCAAAGAACAAATAATCCAATCAAGAAATGGGCGGAAGATATGAATAGACATTTCTCCAAAGAAGACATCCAAATGACCAACAGACACATGAAAAAATGCTCTACATCACTTGGCATCAAGGAAATACAAATCAAAACCACAAAGCGATACCACTTCACACCAGTCAGAATGGCTAAAATGAACAAGTTAGGAAAGGACAGATGTTGGTGAGGATGTGGAGAAAGGGGAACCCTCTTACACTATTGGTGGGAATGCAAGCTGGTGCAGCCATTCTGGAAAACAGTATGGAAGCTCCACAAAGAGTTGAAAATGAGCTACCCTATGACCCAGCAATTGCACTACTGGGTACTTACCCCAAAGATACAAATGTAGTGATCCGAAGGGGTATCTGCACCCCAATGTTTATAACAGCATTGTCCACAATAGCCAAACTATGGAAAGAACCCAGATGTCCATCAGCAGATAAATGGATAAAGAAGATGTGGTATATATATATATACAATGGATATTACTCAGCCATCAAAAAAAAAGCTTGCCATTTGCAACGACGTGGATGGAACTAGAGGGTATTATGCTAAGTGAAATAAGTTATTCAGAGAAAGACAATTATCATATGATCTCACTGATATGTGGAATTTAAGAAACAGAACTGAGGATCATAGGGGAAGAGAGGAAAAAATAAAGCAAGACTGAAACCAGAGAGGGAGACAAACCATAAGAGACTCTTAATCATAGGGAACAAACTGAAGGTTGCTGGAGGGTAAGGGGGTGGGGGATTGGGGTAACTGGGTGATGGACATTAAGGAGGGCATGTGATGTAATGAGCACTGGGTGTTATATAGGACTGATGAATCACAGACCTGTACCTCTGAAACCAATAATACATTATATGTTAATAAAAAAATAAAATCTGTCTCCTTACCTCAGCAGAAGAGATTCCAGCAGAGGATGCTGCCCCAGCGTGTGAGCCCTGGACCCCACGCGCACACCCAGCTCCACTGACCTCAGAAGAATTTAAACACATAGGGCTCACGAAGGCTGTTCTGTCAGCCCACACCCAGAAGGAGGAACAGAATTATGTTGATAAATTCCGGGAAGAGATCCTCTCATCACCCTACAGATCCTGTCTTCAGCAGGAAAGCAGAAACAAAGCTAAACATTTGTGTGTTCAAGGTACTTATGTTTTAAAAACTGTATTTCATTTATCAATTTTATAAATATGTGTAAGTAAGTACTGGGAGATATGGAATAAGGAATAGGGGTTTTGCTTTTAAGAAACTGAGAGATGCTGACAGAATAAATTCTCAACTTTGTTATCTGGGATCTTTCTTAGATCCTGGATCCAAGAAGCTGATTTTATAAGCAGGTGATTCAGAGATACTGAAATAAGTTTATTTTACAACAACAGCTTTTATCTGGGATCTTGCTCATGTTTTCAGTGTTAGTAGGAGTGGACAAGGTTACTATTGACAAGTGTTTATTCCTTCCTAATCTACTTACAATTACCTGCAAGTGGCATTCCTGTCTTCTTTTTTGGTTCCAGTTTTCCATAATATGCTTCCCTCTCTATGCTTTCAGGAGACTCTGCTTCCAAGCGGGCCCGATCAGCTGGCTGCACGAAGGAGAAGCACAGACGAAAGAAGCCACGGGGACTGTGGGACAGCAGGGGCGCTCAGAACACCTTCTGTCCCCACTTGGGAGGAGATGGCCAGTACAGGCAGCCCTGGGGCCCTTCCCTTGCCTCCTCTCCGCAGGCTTCCAGCCTGTCCTTCCCAGCTGCCCTGATGGTTCCCAGCCTGGCTCCTTACCTCATCCCGGCCCGCCCCGCCCCGGCCCTGCCCTCTGTGGGAAGAGAGCACGCAGCGTCGCTGACCACACTTGACCTGCTGCCTGAGCCCCCTTTATGGAACGACTTGCAGTCTTTTCCTGCTCTCCCTTCTCCTTCCTTAGATACTGTGATGACCATTTTCCTGCCTGACCCCCCTGGCTGTCCCCTCTTGTCACCATCCTTCTGTCCATATGCGTTCCTGGGAGCAGCGGGCTCTTCTGGAACACCGCCCTCGGTATCCGCGGTGACTCCACACCTGGAGCCGCCGTCCTCCATCCTCAGCTGGAGGTGGGCAGAGGGAAAATGGGAGACGCCGTGTGGAGAGCACCCGTGCGTTAACTCAAGGAGCAGCTCACCACTACAGCTAAACTTACTGCAAGCAGACATGCTCAGATCCTGTGAATCTTCAGATCAGATGAGAAGGGATATATGCCCGGAAGCTAAGTATGTAAGTGACCCCGACCTCCAGCACATGAGCGAGAACATAAATGTGGGTCCTCATTAAAATTAAGGTTCTTGCCCTGGGGCTCAACACTGAAGGCCTAGCAGGTGATCAGCATCACAGCTGGGATTGAGGAGGCAGCTTTGTTTTCCAGAAATATGCACTCTGTCTACCTGGCTCCATTTTAAAAGCAGGAATTAAAGACTCTATGTCTTGGTTTCTTAGATACTTTGTGAGGTTTATTCCCAAAGTGCTGTCTTTCACATTTTCTATGTGAACTGGGTTTCCACACCCCCCTGCCTTTAAAATTTGATATCCAGGGATGCCTGGGTGGCTCAGTCAGTTAAGCATCCGACTCATGATTTCCGCTCAGGTCATGATCTCAGGGTGGTGAGATCAAGCCCCACGTCAGGCTCTGTGCTGAGCCCAGAGTCAGCTCGAGACTCCCTCTGCCCTTACCCCTGCTCACGTGCACACATGTTCTGTCTCTGAAATAAAGAAATAAAATGTTAAAAAAAATTGATATCCAGTCATTAAACTTAACATATCTGTTGCCTGTAAAATATATCGTCTTACTTACAACTGGGGTTACATTGTGGTAAGGCAGGAGTAAACCATACTGACAAGACCTGAATGGAGTGAGTGCAGTCTTGCAGGCACAGTTGAGGGATACCAGGTATGGACGGAGGGGAGGGCGGAGCCACTTTCTGCTCATTACTACTCAGTAAAGTAAGCAACTAGTTCCATACTTACGCACATCATTTTCAAAACCAAAAACTGCATGGTTATTTTCCTTTAACTTTTCATCTCTTTACCTAAAAATCATTCTCAGAGGTATGTATCCAGTTAAACTTTGGTGAATAGGATGTTCCTGTATCTAGGTATAGGATTCAAGACAAGTGTGAATCTTTACGGTTTTTCTTCAGTCTTCCCTTCAAGGCATAATACCCTTTTTTGGCAAATGTTCACAATCTGATGATCCAGAACAAGAAAATATGCTGAAATTTCAAAGCCTGATATTAGTGCACCTGCTAGAAATGTGCAAGGCAGTGTATCCCAGTGAGCAAAGCCGGGCTGTGGAACAAGACAGGAATGCGGACGCTCTGGCCCTTGTTCGGCGTGTTAGCTGAACCAAGTCAGTCAGCCTTCCTTCTTTGTTCCTCAGTTGAAAAATGAAGAGATTAATCCTTGCTGGCTTATTCTGAGGATTAAATGAAGTAATATTCCTATAATCCTTCTTCCCATGCAATGTAAGCTCAGGATAGCTGGACCTCTGTTTTGTTCACTATTCTATTCCTAAGTTTTGGGAATAGTGCTTAGAACTTACAAAACATTCAGTATATATTTTTGGAATGACAAAACAAAAAAAACATACAACTGTATGGTGCCTGGTGTGTAGTAGGTGCTCAGAAACCAGCAGTATCTTTAATACTACATAGAAAGGTCAAAACCACACTCTTGGGGACAGGCTAAACTGTTTGACCTGTCCCTTATGTATGCACTTTATTCCATTTAACATGTGAAGTTGAAGATCTGCCAGTTATTTTGTACTATGACGCTTGAGAGGTTACAGTCTCTTCTTGTGCCCTTACTTTCTGCAGTGTGTCCCGGGCAATAGTGGGAGGAAGAGCCATCGTGCTACCACCGGCGAACTGTCCACGGCATCACTATATGAGGAGTCGCTGTCTGCAGCGGGCTCTGTGGCATCAGGTAGTAGATCAGAATGATGAGTTCTTCCAGGTCTGTTACCAGGAGCTCACTGTGTGCTGGTTTTCATACTGGTGTGGGAGTAAAGTCTTTTTCCTTTTTTTATAAGCTTTATTGGGGTACATTTACCTACAATAGAATTCACCAAATTTGGGTGTACAAAACAAGAATTCTGACGAATGTATACATTAGTGTAACCAGCACCACAATTACCATATAGAACATTTCCATCATCTGGAAGAGTTTTTCTGTGACCCTTTAGAATCAGTTTCTGCCCTGATGCTCCAGCTCCTGGCAACCACTAATTTGCTTTCTATCACTCTAGTTTTGATTTTTGTGTAATTTCATATTAGTTGAATGGTCCAGTATGCAGTCTTTTGTATTAGGGTTCTTTCAGTTAACACAGTGCTGCTGAGATTCATCCTTATTGGTATGTATCAGTCACTTGTTCGTTCTTATTATGGAGCAGAATTAATTTGTATGGAGATCCATTCACCGCTTGATGGTTTATTCAGTTGCTTCTAGTTTGGGACTATTAAGAATAACGCTGCTATGAACTTTGAGTTTGCGTCCTTTTGTGGACATACGTTTTCATTTCTATTCAGTAAATATCTAGGAATGAAGTCTAGGTCGTGTGTTAAGTGTATGGTTAACTTACTTGTTTTATTTTTATTATTAAAGTCTTGTTACATAGAACGTTATATTAGTTTCCAGTGTACAACATAGTGATTCAACTATTCTATCCGTTATGCGGTGCTCACCATGGTAAGTGTAGTTACCATCTCACCATACAACATTATTACAGTATTATTGACTATATTCCCTGTGCAGTACTTTTCATCTCCATGACTTGTTTATTTATGACTGGAAGTTTGTACCTCTTAATCCCCTCACCTATTTTGCTTATCCCCCAACCCCCTCCCCTCTGGCAACCACTAGTTCTTCGTATTTATGAATCTGTTTCTAGTTGGTTGGTTTGTTTTGTTTTTTAGATTCCACATATAAGTGAAATCATATGGTATTAGTCTTTCTCTGTCTGACTTATTTCTCTGTCTTTCTCTCTCTGACTTATTTCACTTGGCATAATACCCTCTAGGTTATCCATGTTGTCGCAAATGACAGGATCTCATTCCTTTTTTAAGGCCGAGTAAGATTCCAGTGTCTGTGCATGCGCATGTGCATGCGCGCATGCATACGCATCCCATCTTTTTTTTAAGGTTTTTATTTTTTTTTAATTCCAGTATAGTTGTAATTGTATACTATACTATATAGTATATATACTATATACTATAATAACTTATAGTATTAAGTTAGTTTCAGGTGTATAATATAGTGATTCAGCACTTCATATAATACCCAGTGCTCATCACAGCAAGTATACTCCTTAATCCCCATCCCCTTTGTCCCCCCAACCCCCACCCACCTCCCTTCTGGTGACCATCAGTTTGTTCCCTGTAGTTAAGAGTTTGTTTCTTGGCTTGTCTCACTTTTTTTTCTCCTTTGTTCATTTGTTTTGTTTCTTAAGTTCCACATGAGTGAAATCATACGATACTTGTTTCTCTCTGACTTATTTTGCTTAGCATATACTTTCTGGCTTCATGTTGTCACAAATGGCAAGATTTCATTCTTTTTTATGGCTGAGTAATATTCCATTGTGTATATATACCACCTCTTCTTTATCCTTTCATCTATTGGTGGACACTTAGGTTACTTTCATATCTTGGCTGTTGTAAATAATGATACAGCAAACATGGAGGTGGATATGTCTTTTCAAATTAGTGTTTTTATGTTCTTTTTAAAGATTTTATCCATTTATTTGAGAGAGAGAGAGAGAGAGCAGGAGCAGAGGCAGAGGGAGAAGCAGACTCCTTACTGAGCAGGGAGTCTGACATGAGGCTTGATCCCAGGATCCTGAGATCATGACTTGAGCTGAAGGCAGAGGTTTTAGCTCACTGAGCCACCCAGGCACCCCAATGGGATTTTTTCTTAATTTTTCTTTCTGCTACTTCATTATTAGTGTACAGATTGTGACAGATTTCCCTGTATTAATTTTGTGCTCACGACTTTACTGAATTTATTTGTTCTAATAGTTTTTTGGTAGCCTTTAGGGTTTTCTATATGTAGTATCATGCCATCTGCAAAGAATGAAGTTTTATTTCTTCCTTACTAATTTGGATGCCTTTGATCTCCTTTTCTTGTCTGATTGCTAAAGCTAGGACTTCCAGTGCTGTGTTGAATAAAAGTTGGGGTGGGATGCCTGGGTGGCTTGGTTGGTTGGGTGTCTGCCTTTGGCTTGGGTCACGATCCCAGGGTCTGGGGATTGAGTCCCATGTCCGGCTCCTTGCTCAACGGGGAGCCTGCTTCTCCCTCTGCTTGCCATTCCCCATGCTTGTGCACTGTCTCTCTCTCTCTCTCTCTCTCTCTCTCTCTCTCTCTCTCTCTGTCTCTCTGTCTCTCTGACAAATAAAGTCTTGAATAAAAGTTGGGACATCTTTGTCTTGTTTTTGATCTTAGAGTGAAAGCTTTCAGTTTTTCACCATTGAGTATGTTGTTAACTATGGGTTTGTGGCCTTTATTATGTTGAGATATGTTCCCTCTAAACCCAGTTTGTTGGGAGTTTTTATCATGAATGAATGCTGAATTTTGTCAAATGCTTTTTCTGCAATTATTGAGAGGATCATGTGGTTTTTATCCTTTATTTTGTTAATGTGGTATGTCATGTTGATTGACTTGCAGATATTGAACTATCCTTGCATCCCTGGAATAAATCCCACTTCATCATGGTGAATGATCCTTTTAACAAATTGTTAATTCAGTTTGCTAATATTTTGTTGAGGATTTTTGCATCTATGTACATCAGGGATAATATGGACCTGTAGTTACTTGTTTTGTAGTGTCTTTTTCTGGATTTGGTAGCAAGGTAAGACTGTCCTCATTGAATGAATTTGGAAGCTTTTCTTCCTCTTTGATTTTCTGGAATAGTTTGACAATAATAGGTATCAGCTGTTCTTCAAACATTTAGTAGAATTAGGGGCACCTAGCTGGCTCAGTCAGTGGAGCATGTGACTCTTGATCTCAGGGTCATGAATTCAAGCCCCACATTGGGTATAGAGATTACTTAAATAAATAGAACTTAAAAAAATTTTTTTAAATAAATGTTTGGTAGAATTCACCTGTGAAGCCATCTGGTTCTGAACTTTTGTTGGTTGAGGGTTTTTTGATTACTGATTCAGTTTCATTACAATTCATCAGTCTGTTCAGATTTTTATTTCTTCCAGATTTTGTTTTAGAAGTTTGTGTTTTTAGGAATTTATCCATTTCTTCCAGGTTGTCTAACTTACTGGCACATGGTTTCTTGTAGTAGTCTCTTTTTTTTTTCCCACAAATATGATTTTTTTATTTGTCACCATTAAATGTCTGACTTTTAAACAGATTCTTGGACTCGTGGCTCATATCCATCAGCTCGTTCAATTTTAGCACCGGTCTCATCCCCAGTAGCCTTTCCAGAACTACTGCCTTCACCATGAAGCTCCATGAGCTTTCCCAATTCAGACTTGGGCTTCTTCAGCATTTTTACTTTTCTAACGAAGACATCATGAAGTGGATAAATAGACTGACAAGCCTTTTCTATATCTTTTCCGTTGCTGTGTGGAATCAATTTATTGACCACTTCTTTCAAGTCAATTTTTGCACCTCTCAGGTCATGATTTCCATCATCTTTTTCCGAATTTGACGGACCTGTTGGTGCTGAGCATAAGAGGTCTTCTGAATCTGATTATTGCGTTTTTTAGTAAAACCAACACAAAATAGACGAAGCAAATAACCATCGGTAGTCTTGACATCAACATGAGCTTCAATCATGGTCTGCCATTTTTTGACCATGGAACACATTTTGTCATGATCCATGCCATGGAAATTAGTCTGGCAGTTTTTGCCCTGAACATCCTCAGTAATTAGCTTGAATTTTCTAAATGCAACTTCATCATTCTGCAAATCAGCAAGGCTCACTTCAAAAACCCGACCCTTGAGACCATCAGATGCGATTTTGGTTCCTTGAGTTCTTGTGACTAATGTTTTTCCAATATTTCTTATATTGAACATAGCTGGTGCTTTCACATCATACCAATCTTTCTTAGAAAATGGATCAACCACTTTCTTCTTGGCTCCCTTTTTGCCGCCTTTCGTAAGGCGCTTGTTCTTGCCGACCGCCATGGCGCTGCTCAGGGAGCCAAAAGGGGTAGTAGTCTCTTTTAATCTTTGGTATTTCTGTGGTGTCAGTTGTTACTTCTCTTTCATCTGATTTTATTTATTTGAATCTTCTTTCTTTTTTCTTGATAAGTCTGGCTAAACTTTTATCCGTTTGTTGTTTTTTTCTTTTTTTTTTTTAAGAACCACCTCATGGTTTCATCAATCTTTTCTCTGTTTTCTTAGTCTCCGTTTCATTTATTTCTGCTTTGATCTGTATTTCCTTCTTCCTACTAACTTTGGGCTTTGTTTGCTCTTTATCTATTTCCTTTAGGTGTCATGGTTATATTATTTTGAGATTTTTCTTGTTTCTTGAGGTAGGCCCTTATTGCTACAAACTTGACTCTTAGAACTGCTTTTACTGCTTCCCGTTGGCCCATTATGTTTACATTTTCATTTGTCTCCATGTCTTTTTTTTATTTCTTCTTTGATTTGACAAATTGGTTTTTTATTAGCATGTTGTTGAGCCTCCACATATTTGTGGGCTTTTTCCAGGTTTTGCCTTATAATTAATTTCTAGTTTTTTAAATAATTTTTTATTGTTATGTTAATCACCATACATTACATCATTAGTTTTTGATGTAGTGTTCTATGATTCATTGTTTGTGCATAACACCCAGT